AAATCCTTTATTTTGATGCACATTCAGTAACTTCAGGAACAAAAAATATTTATTTAAAAATCTTTAGCTACTTTTTATACTAAATGCTTGGAAAGATGATGTAGAATGCAACTTCATGCTAACATTTTAAGCTGTTTCACAGAATTTAATAATCTTTTGATTTCCTATCAGGATTCTGATTTGGAGCGCATGTATACACTTTGTGATCGAGTAGAAAACGGTTTGGACGAACTGCGACTCGCACTGGAAAAGCATATTGCTCGTCAAGGAGAAGCTGCGTTGGATAAAATCTCCGATGTGGCTGTGAATGTTGGTGTTTACAAAGTATCAAAAAAATTAATTTTGCATCTCATTGGCACTAAGCATCTCATGAAAAGCAATTTTTTAGATTGGTGAAATCTAGATAATCTATGCTTCTAAGATTTTTATTAATAATCACATTGCTCTAGATTAAATGGCTGCGGTCTGTCGGAAAATGAACTTTACTCACTAAATTGTGTTTAATTAAGCTCGTTTACTCTAATGGTTTTCATTCCAGATCTAATGGGATTTACAGGAAGCACTGAAGTTTAGGCTTTATCTTATTATAAAGTGGTCAGTTTACTAAATGTCCAGGATTTCAGGATCCAAAGCAGTATATTTCAACAATTTTGGAAGTTCACAAACGCTATCATAGTCTAGTGACCTGTTCTTTTAAAAATGAACCTGGTTTCGTTCAAGCATTGGATAAAGCATGCACATCGTTCATCAATCGTAATAGTGTCACAAAAAAGGCGAATGTAAGTTTTAGTTTTTTTTATTTAGTTTCATTTAGAAAAGCTGAAACAGGCTGAAACTTCAGTTTTAAATGTATTATTTTCAGAACACGTCGAAAAGTCCAGAACTTTTAGCAAGGTATTGCGATCTTCTGTTGAAGAAAAGTGCCAAAAATCCAGAAGAAAATGAGCTCGAAGAACTTCTTAATCAAATCGTATGGATCTTCTTTCCAAGAGCTCAAAGTTTAAAACAGACTTTACAAAATTTTTGTCATTTTATTAAAAGTTTGGACAAGATATTCATCCCTTGCAAATTCTCGCAATTCAATTATCAAATATACAAAATTTTTGATCGGTTCTGGAAGACGACAGTTTGAAGTTTGATTTGGAGGTTCATTTCAGATGATTGTATTTAAATATATCGAAGACAAAGACGTATTTCAAAAGTTCTACACCAAAATGTTAGCAAAGCGGCTAGTGAATGAGTTGAGTGCCAGTGATGAAGCTGAAAGCAACATGATTTCGAAACTAAAACAGATGTGTGGATTCGAGTATACCAGTAAACTACAGCGAATGTTCACTGACACCAGTCTTAGCAAAGTGAGCAATTCATATGATTATTTTAAGTAATCGGCGCTGCTAATATTTGCCAGTTTTTGGCAATCAAAAACAAGTTTTCGTCAAAATTATTACAGCTCTGAGTGCCATTAGCATGCGCTTCTTTCCCAAATTAACTTTTGAATTTTATGATTTGTGGATTCATTTATCACGTATTGGCAAAAAAAGAATTTCTTTTAAAATTTAGTACCGCTTTTCAGGATATAACGGAAAGATATAAACAGCATCTGGCGACTAAAAACATAAACTTAGGATTGGATTTCTCAATCATGGTACTTGGGTCAGGTGTATGGCCTTTCAGTCAGTCTCCAATTTTTGATATTCCTGTGCAGCTAACAAAATGCATGGAATCATTTAATGAGTAAGTATGTGGAGTGAATATCTTTTGTAGATTTGAGATTAAAATTTCTAAAATTTAGATTTTTTATATGTATAAACATTTGGATTGATATTTAGTGAAAACGATGCATTTTGAAAACATATTTATGCAGCTATGTAAAGACGAAACATTTATTTCTTTGGATAATCTTTATGATAATAAACAGAACTGAATTATATGGCTTTCTCAAGAATATTTTACTTCTTAGGTTTTATCAAACACAACATACGGGTCGTAAATTAACTTGGCTCTTGGCGCAATGTCGTGGCGAACTTTCAGCTTACGGTTTTCAAAGGAAATATACTTTTACTGTAAGTAATTTTTGTTTTTAAGGAGTGAATTTGGGACTATGATGTGGATGTCACTGCTAAAAAGAAATTAATTAGCTGGACAAAACTTGTTAGTCCCACGAGCTATAGCTAAACTTTCTGTTGTTGATCTGTGTCTACGAGGAAGATAGTATTCGGCGAAGATAATTCGTTACTCAGATGCAGTATTCGGTATCAGAATAACGAGAAAAAATTGCAAGTAGCAAAGGAAATTCTGTATATATATATATATATATATATATATATATGTATCTAATATTCGACATGTAACCGCTTTTTAGTAACAGTCAAGATACTACACAAAAATCGGAGCAGTCTTCATGGTACTAATAAATGATATATATTCATGTAATTTTGGGCGCACGGTGTTGATTGAAAGTTTTTACGCGTTTAATTACAAATGCATCGGAGGAAACTCCTAATTCGAAACTTTTTGTATTTGATTATTTTTCCTTTGTATCTTTGTGATAATACTCATTTCAGGCTACGACAGCTCAGATGGCTGTTCTAATGTTATATAATGAAAACACAGAAATGACGTTACAACATATTTGTGATAGTACTAAACTTAGACGTGAAGTCGTTGCACAAATTGCTCAAGCCCTTGTCAAGGTTTATTTTAAAATAAATAAAAAAAGAAATTGTAGAAGCATCGATTTTCAATAGCTATGCTAACCCAAAGATTTTTTAATCCTTTAGATTTTTACAAACATCGCTTATAGGTAGAACTGTTGTCGATTGCTGGATCAAAGATTGATATTGATGCAAATACTCCCTTCGCAACAGTTCTAAAACTGAATTCTGACTTTTCAAAGTATGAACACTTTTCATTGATTATAGAATTTATTATCTCTTATGCAGAGATTCGTGAAAAATTCAGAGCGAAATTTTTCAGCAAAAAATTAAAAGTTGATTTGTCGAAAACGATGGCACGAGCTGAGATACGTCAAGAAACGGTGGAAGTACATAAATCTGTGGAAGATGATAGGCGACTGGTTGTGCAGGTTGGTATTTCATCAGAATTTTGTTCTAATTTCAGAATTTTTAAGTACCATTAATTATTTCTGATATTATGGGTTCTTGCTGTTTCAGGCAGCTATTGTTCGCATTATGAAGATGAGGAAAAAGATGAAACATACTCAACTAATTACTGAGGCGAGCGGAGCTTTTTCAAATATTTTTCTACTTGTACAGATTCAGCGATGTGCTAGTTTGATTAGCCAAAGGCGTAGATAGATTTTGTTATGCTTTTATAGCCATTCATCGTGTTGATTGATTCAGATCGCTTCATATTATTTCTTCTGAGTTTTATTGAATACTGCTATTACCAATTTTTGGTAAGCTGTTTAGGTCAATATCGTAAAAGTTTTAAATGATTGTCAGTTTTACTCAATATGCATTGGTGAGTTTCAAAGGATAACTGATAAAAATTACAGGTTCTTGCGCAATTAGCGTCACGTTTCAAGCCAAAAGTGCCGATGATTAAAAAATGCATTGATATCCTGATTGAAAAAGAATATTTACAAAGGGTGGAAAATGAGAAGGATCTCTATGAATATCTTGCATGAGCTGATTTTTTTAATATATAAATTAAAGAAATTTTATATCTAATATAAAATGCAGTCTTTGTATTTCCAGTGCTGCTGTTGTGTATAATCACGTTTGTGTATTTTTTCGGTGTGATGCTTTGTTTTTTCATTGTCTTTTGTTACCTGACGTGTTAGAGCTTCCTGGCAGAAGTTTCGGATTTTTGTCGCCTTGTAATTGTAGAAAGATTTTCGGGTCATGCTGTGAAAATGCTCTAGTCAGGGTATCTTTCATGAGAGCACTTGAAATGCTCGTTTGTATTATCTGAAGAAATAAAAAGTGACGTTGTGAAGGGTAAAGATAAAATAGGCGATGTTTTCGTTTTCTGCAATGTTGGAAATTTTAGTTCAATTTAGCATTTGTCTTTTTTGACAATTATACATCGAAACATTAGGATGTTTGCTGGATATCTATGGTAGGAATACGGATTTTCCGTTACCAGTTTTTTCTTGTGGGAATATTTTATATTTTTCGAAAAAATGGCAAGATTATATTTCCGAAACCTATTTTGTCAACTGATCATAATTTGTTTGTTTTAATAATTTTTGATAAGTTCAAAATTAATTTACCCAGCAAATAAGGCTGGAACTCATGCAATCACTGAATATGCTTAGGTTTTCATGCATTGATTGGCCGTATTTGGTCGTATTTGTCGCGCAGTAAAGCTTTTTGGCCTTATTTTTCAGGTAATCAGATTCCATTCTAGCGTCACATTTTCGTCCTTTCATTTTTACTTAAAAAATTTTCACCTGTTTTAATTAATTTTTTAACTGTCGAATATGGAGCGCTGATTTTTCGATCGAGATTTTTATTTGTATCGATGAAAAAAATCTGGAAATTTTGGGTTTTTTAATGTTCACTCCTAAATTATTCTGAATTTGATTTTCAAAATTAACATAATCTCAGGAGAAATTGTTAATATTTTCCTATGAAATTTAATAATATTCTGTACTATGTGCTGATAATCTTTGTGATGAAATTTTTTACTCAACGTATAAAGAAGTTTGCGATTTTCAGAAATAGAAAGATCATGCAATGAATTTATTTAGATTTTTATTTTTACTTTCAATAAAACCTGAAATAATTTACTTTCGTCCATTAAAAGAGGACCACTATTTTCGCATGAATAATACAGTATTTTGTTAGTTTATTCAGATTAAGTATACTTATTTTTTAATGAAACTATAAGCAACTTATTGATCTGCCTTCAACGATTTATTTATTCCATTTCATTTTTCTAAATTCTTCTTCCGTTTGATTCAATTCTAATTAATTAGCATCAGTCTTGAGTGAAAAGGTATACCTTTCGATTACCAACATCGTTTATTTTAGATGCATTCTGCTGCAGTAATACTAGCATTGTCTAGTATCATTTTCGCTTATTATTCATCTGCGCAGAATGGATTCTTCCGTGAAGCGGATTATCGTCAACTTTATCCATTGCTATCGATTGCTATTCGCTTGCAGAATCACGCTCATGCGCTACCATATTTTTTTGGTTTATTAGAGAATCTTGACTATCCAAAAGATCAAATTCTAATTGATATATACATGGCAACACATATTGATGCAACTTTATCAAAAACCAAACAGTCCGTTTTATTATTTTGTAACAAAGCGATGATCATAACTTTCAATTAAAGATTACTAACATTGGTGTTTTAATAACAATTCAATGATTGTAATTATTTTTCTAACAAAATTTACAGATGGGCAAATGATGCAAAGAAGTATTATCGTTCTATTTTTCTAACTGATGATGCGAAAAATTGGCAAGAAGAGGCATTGATGAAAGCAAGAAGTAGTAAAGCAAAATTTATATTCTATTTAAAGGTAAATACAGTATGCTGCTTTACACCAGGATTTCATTTTAAATTTGACGCGAGTGTTTTGAAGTTATAATAGAATTCCCATGGAGTTTCAAAGTGTTTAAAATACAGAGAAAGGTCAAAAATTACTTTATTTTTGAATTTCTTAAATTACTTATTTCGAAAAAGAAAGAAAAACTTCAGGGCGATCATTTGTTGACGGACCACAGAATTCTCCAAACGATGATGCAAAAGAAGAAATTAGCTATTGCTCCTCTTCTTTTTGCTCCATTTGGTGATCCACCTACAGTGTTTATATCTGAAGATTATAGCAGTCGAAAAGAAATATCTACTGTAGAAGTAACTTTATGCATTTGTTTTTATCTTGAATTTCCAATTTTAATAAATATGGCTAGAGCAGCAAGTTAGATATTTAGTAGCAATGGATTTTTGACTATTGCAATGCATTTAAGGACTTCAAGATAGATATGAATATCCAAATACTACCAGTTAATATTATTTTCGAAAATTATTCTAATTAATACATTATAGGTTAAGATGATTCCTGAACCGTTGCTAATAGATTTGGCACACAGTGATTCGTCATACTTAACATTTTCCTTCGAAAATTTATATGGTTATTCTAAAAATGATTCTGAAGATCCAGATGCTGTGCTTGCAAATTCAGCATCTCGGATGAACATACCATTTTTCTTGGATAATCAACATTTTTATGGATATTTTTTCAATCATTCAATACGTTCTTTGGATTTTCAGCGAAAAGCGGTTGGTGCTGTATTTATAGACATATTTTAATTTCATATAATTTTTTTTCTATAATTTAGGCTTTGCATCTGTACAAGATTAACTATACGATACACTGACCTGAAAAAATAATCGTTATTAAATAATTAAAGTTGTTGCCTTAAAATCTATTCAGCACTAAATTTATTTCTTATTTTTCATTATTGAAGATTGTGTTTTGTTGTTTCAGCAATACATAATTTTGCAAAAGAGTTATTACTCGAAGTGGTGGAATCTATAAATGATTTAAAGAAAGTCACTTGTGTTACAGCTTCGTTATCTGTTGGCTGATTGGATTGCTAATAGTGGTTTGATGCCAATTGTGCATTCATCATTTCTGAAAGTCAACTATCCGAGACCGTCACTTTTTGATGTTGACAAAATTTATGTTATCAATCTCGAACGAAGAAACGACAGGTATTTGTAAGAATTTCAAAATAAATAAAGATGATTACATTCAGCAGCAATTTTTTCTTTTTTCCAAAAAAACTATGCGGATTTATTTTCTGCATTTCAATCTTCTATTATCTTTGATTTTGTGATGAATATGCATTTGTGGAATAATTAATGAATTTTTTGGAAATAGTTTGTGAAAAGTAGTTTCTTATTTTCCAAAGCTGTTAAAACAATTTAAGAAAAGTTAAAATGATGGAATTATTAAAACTGATGGGATTTGAATATACATGGTGGAAAGCGACTGATGGTCACCGCTTGGATTCAGAACCTTTATACAACGAGGTTAAATTTTTGCCTGGATATGAAGATCCGTACTATAAAAGGCCGATGAAAACGGGAGAAGTAAGCAAAGTTTATGGAAATATAACATTAATGTGAGAATTAATGAATAATGAATGCTTTCATTTTTATTGCATCGATTTTATGTGCTTCAACTACTTCATTAAAATAATCCATGCACAGTATTTTTAAGATGGAATTTAAACTTTTTATTTAAGGTCGGTTGTTTTTTAAGCCATTACCGCATATGGCAGGAAGTAGACGAAAAGAATTTGAATCGTGTAATTATATTCGAAGACGATTTGCGGTTCGTGGTTAATTCGACGGATCTTTTAAAAGAGCTCATTGAAGATATTGATAGTTCGGGAATTGAGTGGGATCTAGTATACTTAGGCAGGAAACGGCTAGAAGGTGCGGATGAAAACTGGGTGCCTGGTAAGTTATCGGATATTTCTCGACTTTTAATTTAATTTTAAGGACTTTTAAAAGCATTCTATAATATGGAACTAATTTCCTGTAATTAGTCATCAATACTGCTTTAAAAGAACTTTTCGGCTAAATGTTCGCAAAGTAGTTTTTGCAATTCATGGAACGTATGTTAAATAATTTCTGCAACTTTGCAATCTTAGTGAATGCTTAGGTATGCCTTTTACTCATTGAAACATATTTCGTTATACCCTAATCCGGCTTAACTTACATCTATACATTTTTGTAGGTCATCGACACCTGAGTACCGTTGATTATTCATATTGGACTCTTGGTTATATGTTGTCATTGAATGGCGCTCGAAAACTACTTGGTGGCAACCCTTTGAAAAAACTTCTGCCGGTGGATGAATATATCCCAATTATGTTCAATAAGCATCTGAATACGACATGGAAAAGTGCATTTCCACATCGCGATTTAATTGCATATACAATTTATCCTACCATTGTTGTTCCAGAAAGGTATACCTATCAGCATGGTTATTTTAGCGATACAGAAGATTCGGATATTGTTGATTTAGCAAGTGCAATTTGGACACACAAAAATACAAATAAAGAAGAATTGTGAAATAATACAAGTTACATTTTTGAATGATCCGATGCTAATGCTTAGATTTCTAGTCATGCATTGTTTTCGAAGAAATATTGATATTTTCTCTAAAGCAAAATAATCTGATTTGTCATTTATCCTACAGTTGAATTTTATTTTTAAATCGCTTTGAATAAGTCAACTATTCTTCATTTGATTATCTAGAACTGCGGTCATTATAATTAGACGAGCTTTCATGTTTATTAAGATGTTCACTAGCAGATATGTCTTCTTCGTCAAAAGTAATACGGAAATTCAAAACATTCAATGACTTTATATTATTTCAAGCTTTAATTTTCTAGCTCAGTGTTTTTCAAGGTTTATTCTGTATTTAATATCATCTTATTACGGTGCTATCATCTTATTATTGTCTAGTGATAAAATCATTGCCTTGTTTTCTTGGTGCTGCTTGTTGATTTCTTTTCTACTATTGTTTTACCATAAACTGTTATGAACAGGAATCCATTTTGAAAATCAATGTAAAATTAAAAAAAATTTTGTTGTGATTTTTGTCCTGCAGCTTAAAATCTGCTGAATTACTATAATATAATTGTTCACTATAATATTTTATCTTCTATACTACTATTGATCAAAGCTATTTGAAGTAAAACGCATTCCCATGTACTGGTTATTGATTTTTAGAAGAGAACTAATTCTGTAATCGGCAGAAACACAAAAATGCTTCTTAACAGCGGTTTTTGTGCTGATCGTGTCAAGCGTTAGAGTTCATTATACTGGCGTTTCCGTGTAATTCCAGTTTGCAGTTCTGTCGGCGAGGTTTGTTTCACATTTTATGAAGTCGTTTTTGGAATGTTCCTCTCAAACTCTCGTAATTTATTGTTCCTCTCTATACATATTTGCATTTCTAGAACTACGCAGAATGGGTTGCTTTTACGGAAAGCCAGGTCTTGAAGTTGGAACACAACAATATCGAATACTGAAACCTTTCGCTAAAGGGTAAATTTTCAATCCGAGAATTTTAAAGTTAAAACAAAAAATCCGGTTTGGAAGATAGTTTACTTTGCGTTAACAAATACGGTGCATCTTCCACACTCATACAGCAATTAAATGGTATAAAACTCTTTCAAATGAATGGAATTGGAAATTTGTTCGATCATTTGAGTAAAGGGCCGTGAGAAAATTAAAGATTAGGTAAAAATTTAATTTGAAACGTTTTTTCCAGAGGCTTCAGTCAATTATTTCTAATAGAGGATTACAAAAGTGGTCATAAATGGGCCCTAAAACGGATTGATTGTCATTCGAAGACAGATATTGAGCGTGTTCGGAATGAAATAAACATACAACAAAAATTTGGAATGCACCCGAATATCCTGTCACTGAAATGTTTTACAAGTGACGAAATTCCCCATAGCCTTCGATTTTCGCTTATATTTACTTTTTACAAGGTGTGCAGTAATTTTTTTATTCCTCGAAAAATTTTCATATCCAAAAAAGGATGACTAATTCATTAATTCATGTCTTGTATTGGTACACATCATATAAAATTTTTTTAACTGAACTTTTTGATTTTATCAGATATTTCTTTTCAATTTGAAAAAAGCATTAGTTATATTAAAGTGGAAGTTATGTATATTTGAGAGATTAAATAATAATTTTCCTTCTTTTTATTGATTTTCATGTTTTATTTTAAATCTAATGAATTACTGGGCTTCTAAGTAAATTCTTAGGATTATAATGTATTTACATATCATTTTAGCGTGGTACTCTTCAACATGAACTTACAAATCGCCGTTCATCATGTGATTACATCGATGAAGAACGGGTTATACGTCTTTTTCTGCAAATTATTTCTGCTGTTAAATTAATGCATTCATCTTCTCCTCCTATTGCTCATAGGTGGGCATTTTTTTTCCACTTTTCGGCAACCTACGTAATTTTAGTCACATTCTGATAAGGGAGAGGAAGTTAAAGTAGTTTATTTCTGCAAATGTTTTTGTTCTTTCCATCTTTTTGAGAAAAGGCCTTTTTTCTAACCGTTATTCAAGAAAAAAATCCTGACTACATTTGCAAGTTTTTCATACTTAAATTACGAAATTTGTGCAAAATTTCGCCTCTTTTCGGGAAAAGATATAACGCTTTTCAGAGATATAAAACCAGCTAATGTGTTGCTCTCAGACGATGATCGTCCAGTGTTGATGGATTTTGGTAGTTGTTTCGCATGTCCAATAATAATTAATGATGGAAAAGATTCAAGAATGCAGTTGGTTAGTTTTTCGTATGAGTTTCTACTATTGCTTATCACATCATGATTTTTTTCCAAACTAGTTTTAAAAGTGTTTATTTTGGAGTTCAGAAAAGAATAATAACTTTTATTATGTCTACTGAGAACAAAATTACTTTTTTGCAGAATGCTTATGAGCTCGCAATGTTTTAGGATGAAGCTGGTGAATTATGTTCAATGCCTTATCGCGCTCCAGAACTTTTTGTTTGTGAAATTGGTTCAATAATCGATCAGTCTGTAGATATATGGGTTCGTGTTATTCTTATCAATTCATTGTAATTCAACTTAAGCATTATATATATATATAATTCCTGAGAATCACCAACAGGCCAAAAATAAAGATGGATAAACACCAAATTTCAGTCACTTGGTTGCCTTTTATTTGCGTTATGCTTCTTTCGCTCGCCATTTGATGATATCTATGAACGTGGTGACAGTATCGCACTTGCTGTTCAGTCGGGAAAAATTAGTTATATTGAAAATCATCCGTAAGTTCAACTTGCATTGTTCAGAATAGAAAATTAGAATTTTAGCTCTAAAATTTCCAATCCTGAGATTTGGACGTAAGAAAGGAAATAACGCAGAAGGTTCCTGAATTAATTTCATTTTTTACTTGAAAGAAAAATTAACACTTAAACTTTCATTTGTTTTCAGATACAGTCAAAAAATCCTAGATGCAATTCATGCAATGATAACTGTCAATCCAAAGGATCGACCGAGCATTCCTTTCATCTGTGATCTGTTACAAAAGTTCTAGTTATATGAAAGGTAAATTTTTAAAAAAAAGAATAACTAGTTTGTAGATTTTCCGTTCACTATATGTCTATTCCTTAAAACTTCAAATTTAATACGCTACTCTTGACAAAGTTTTAATATCACAGTTAGTTCCTTTTCTGTCCTTCCCCTTCTTTCTTTCAAATTAAAATGCGATAAAAACTGGACCACTTAAAAATTCGGTTAGAATCTAGAATCTTAAGTAACTTCCAGTCGACTTTTTTTTTTGAACTTAAGTTCAAATAGGGAAAACATAAATCCTTAAATGTAATCTTAAATTTAACTTTAATTTAATGTTTTTCAATTTAATCAATTCCTTCTCACACACTGTATTTCTATATGGAAAAAATGTTGGATGCATATATTATGAGATTTATAAAAATTAATGAAAGTAAAGTAGGAAATGAAAAACGGCAACGTTGTAATATCTTATTTGTTTAAATTAGTTATCATTTTAAATAATTCAATAAGTTAAGAGAGTTTTTGCAGTTCCGCTGTGAAATGGCGCCTGTGAAGGTCGTAAGCACAAAGGAAGATGAAAGTGGAATGAGAATACATCGTTGAAGTTGGAGTGATACTTTGCCAAAACGTCCGAAAGAAATGAAAATGGATATTTTTCGTGTATTATCTTGTGAATTCATTCAAGAAACAAGAAGTTACAAAGCTTTTTTTATTTGATGAAGTATCAATGAATTAAACTCGAAAGGCTTATTGGAATCAAATATGATGTCAATGAAGTGCGGTAAGCTGCGCACAAAAGTTCTATCAATAAATGATTTGAAAAAAATTTCTGAAGTTGTATGCTTGAAATAGTTTTTATATTTTCTGCTGAATCTTCCGATAATTTATTTTTTTCAATTTATTAATTATGGATCTTATATGTGATCACATATACGATAAAGCAATGCTTAAAATGTGTGGATTAAAGTTGAAAAAGGTAGTATTAATTCAGTAACGCTATAAATTTCCCAGCTTGTCTATTTTCCATACTTTCTACAAGTTATCTAATAAAATTTCACTTATACATTATTAATTTTCTGATTGAAGAATCATTATCACAAAAATCTGATATAAGAAGTTTGCATTTTTAAATGCTGCACTAAATTTAATTTTCTAAGGAATATATTCCGATTCTCTACTCATAGCATATTTTCATTAGCCAACAAAAAGGAATTGGTCAAAAATTATGACAAATAAGTTCATACATAAAGATATTACTATCTTTGTTGAAACTGGATGAGAAAAATCTCCTTTTTACAAAGTACATTACTTACATGATTAAAAATATTGCATAACAAAAATTACAATTAGTTCATTATCATTTTAAATAATGAAAATGATAAACATTTATAGACGTGACAATGTGAAAAAAAAGTTTCCATGAACATCACAGTTTAAATTCGAATTAAACTTTGGCTATATTTATTTGCAATGTTTTTACAACTTTGAAATGATTCCGTTGAAATTACTAATATTTCTGAACAAAACAAATTGATGCACCTTATCAGATAAAATGATAGCAGCTAAATTTGCATACCATCAAAATATATAATTCATATCAATTTTACTCGATTATACGATGGCAGTGAAGTACAGGAATATTAGTGTTATCATTGCTAGTGATATATTCAACTGATGATTGCAAGCCGCATCATCTGCAAAAAAAGAAAGCAATCAATAATTGATTTATTAAAATATTAATTTGAGAAATCTCGATATATTCCTATCAATGATTCATTCATTTCTTACTACATACATATATACATATTTAATATATAATAAATATTCATCATATATTCGAAATAATGGAATTAGTATTTTTGTTCATTCAAAAATAATATTGGAATTTAATATTTTCTTTTTCATTCAAATGATAACAAGAATTGCAGAATGATTACTTTATCCTTCATTTAATTCCAGATATCACTAATTAAATCCGATATTTCGATAATAATAAAATTCCGATATATATATATATATATATATGTATTGGAATTCTATTAATCAGTAATAGAATTTAATATAAAATAATCAATTATCGAAATTTTATCATTAATAATGGAATTATTCAAAAGAATATCCAAATTATAGAATGATTGATTACTTTATCATTTATTTAATTTCAAATATCTGAAAAAACATGTCAATTTTAGGAATATATTAAAATATGAATGAAAATCCTGGAATTAAATAGAAAAATACTTCTTCCCATTAGTTTGATAGAATTGTTAGTTCATTTGCCTTATTAAAGTATTCCATCCATTAATGCTTTATATTATTGACCTGGCAGGTGTTGAATAATCGGTCATTATTTGATGAATATCATCATTTCTCTCTCTCTTACTCTCTCTCTCTCTCTCTCTCTCTCTTTTCAATTGCGCTCATATTACAAAGGCGGTATTCTTTTTTCATTTTGGGAATAACAAAACTATCTTTTTGTTCATTTTAATGAGCATCTAATGAATGTATCTATCATTCCATCTGTCCTCTATTTGCATACATTACTTTTATCACTCACTCATATATTATACCACTTATTTCATTCACTAAGCATAAAAGATGATGTGATACTTCATCAATAATTAAAGTGGGATAAATATTTTATGCATATTTATAAAATGAAATAAAATTTCAAAGCTAAATCTTCTTTCAATAATTAAGGTCAAAAGAAGGTGTGGTACTTCATCAATAATTAAAATGGAGTAAATATTTTATGCATATTTATAAAATGAAATGAAATTTCAAAGCTAACCCAATTTCCAGTGATTCACTTAGCTCAAAAGGTGGTGTGATACTTCATCAATAATTAAGTAAATATTTTATGACATATTTATAAAATGAAATGAAATATTACAACTAACCCTCTTCCAGTGCTGCATATCCTTCAGCGGATGAATCACTTGTATGAATTATATACAATAATGGTGTTGATACTTCAGCTGAATTCCTGTGAAAATAAATTTATTTTTACTTATTTAAATTTCAATTTTAACTTTTAACATCTACTTAAATATATTATTGAAAATTTGAAGCTTTTAAAAATTTCATAAATTTCACAATTAAAAAAATTATGCATCTTTCATATTTCATATATGTATATTTAGATGTATATTTAGATGCTAATTTCCCTTTCATCAATTTGAATAGTTGCTTTCGCCTATTTTTAATTTTATATTGATGAATAATACAATCAATGTAGCAAATTAAATTAGCCTTGAAGCTTTAAGAATCACTAATTATGGTTGTCAATAACACTTGATGTGTATGCACTTGACAGAAATTTTCATTTTAAAGAAAACAAAATTTGAATTCTAAAATTTTCACCCATTTAATATCGAATTATTTTACAATAACTATTCAAAATACTTTTCAACACATAATAACTCTTTTTCATTTTAATTTAAAATATCTTCGCTTTACAGTTTACAGCTATTCTTTACAGTTTGAATGCAACAGAAAGATGAAGAAAAGAAAAAGCTTACTGTAATCGATGCCTAAAATGAGCACTTGAAGGTTCAAAGTAATCGTTGAGATTATCATTTCGATCTATAAAATAATAATATAACAAATAGTAATAATTAATAATTAATTATATCAATTAATAAATTTTTATAATTTATAATTATCTTTTTAATTACTCTTTGAATCATTTATTTTAACAAATAATAATAATTATCAATTAATTATATCAAATAATAAATTTTTATAAATTATAATTATTTTTTAATTACTCTTTGAATCATTTATTTTTCATCTTTTTTAAACGTCCTTTTAACTTAATTTTTATTTCCATTAATAAAATTACTCAATTTTAGGAATATTCTATTATATTCTATTCCATTCTAAAATTATTAAATTAAATTTTTAATTAAAAAAGGTTAATATTTAATTAATAGAGTGCATAAAAAAATGTTAATTAATTAGAATGACGAATTTTCTTTATTCAAAAACCTTGAAATTAGCATAATTTCCTATATTTCAATAGTACTCAGGAATAGATAATTCATAATCAATCCGCATGAAGAAGATTTTATTTATATTCAATGAGTAATAATGAAGTCCTTTAACCTTGAATATTTTAAAATTTAAAAACTCCCTGTTTCTTTTTTTTCATCAATAAACCCTCATTAATTCATTAATTAATGAGTTAAGTAAATTGTTGACATGCTTTTGAGTGGAATGAAATTATTGGTTTTATTTTATTTGATTGCTTATGCTACTAAACGGTACTTTATTTTGTCTCTCATAAATTAGCTCCTAAATTTAAAATTATAATAAATTATGCCTATCCTTCTTTTCAGGCATTATTTATTGAATTAAGGAATGGATAAATAAAATTAGGCAAATAAATGGATGAATAGAATTGGATGAATAAATAATTTATTTATCATTGCTTTCTAATTGGGCTCATTATTTGCAGCCATTTTATGCTTTAATAATTTTCAAATCAAAAAAACGAAATGAAAAATCATTTTAATAATTTCTTAATAATAATATAGTCAGCTGGCAATAATTTTAAGGCACTTCTTTTTTTCTTAAAAGGTTTTTCGTTTTTTAAACTAAATAAAATTTTTAATGTAAAAATAAATTTTCGTGAAAAGCAAATATTTCTTTCATTGTTTTTTAAAATATAAAATTTGATTAAAAGAACGAATGAAAGGATTTAAATGAAAGCGTTATTGTTGATTGATACTTACTTACTTATTTACTAACTAACTTACTTACCTACTTACTTACTAACTAACTTACTAAAAACTTACTTATTTACTTACCTACCTACTAACTTACTAACCTAATTACTTACTTACTTATTTACTTACCTATTTACTAACTTACTAGCTTAATTATTTACTTATTCACTTACCTACTTGCTAATTTACTAACTTAATTATTTACTTATTTACTTACCTACTTACCAACTTACTTACTTACTTCCAAACAATTTTTGCTTGGCTCAAAATTTTGTTTTAAATTTTTACAAATTTTAATTCAAATTAAACTTCCCTTAATTGCAAAATATATTTTTGAATTTTTATAGATCTTTCAGAAATCCCTTTTTCAATCTGTTGCTCAACAATTTAGGATAAAAAGATTTCAAGATAACAATAACAACAATAAAAACAACAACAGTAGTAACACCAGCAATAACAACGACAACAACAGACAATAACAAATAACAGCGATAATAAAAGCAACAACAATAAACGGTTGTCATCAAATAGTACATAAATAAATAGTTGTCCTTGGTTTTTACAACATAAATTTGATGTAAATATTTGAAGTATATATATATGATACATGTGTGTATGTATATCTTGTTTGTTTATATCCGCATATTTAACCTTGTTATCGAATATATTGTCATTTAAACATTTACTCCTTCTTTTCACCATTAATAATTGTTGTATGACAAATTAAAATTACTATCGTACAATTTATGTTATTATATTAAACAACGTCTTTTCAGAGATCAATTGAAGGTGTTGTAATTTTCGGGTTCAATTAGGTCAGTTACAATCAAATGAAAATGAACAAATACTTTTGTCAATTACACCTGTTCATTTGGATATTATTTGATTGGCATTAACATTTGCGCTAACTCATCAAATTATGACATTTCTACAACATGACCCCTTCTATCAGTAAGCAGTACATTTCTGTTGTATATTTCTATTAACATCTATCTTATCTACAAATAATCTAATATCACAAATAATCCTTACCATAACCTCTTAAAACTATTATTACCATAACACAAATAAAGAACAAAATTAATTTCAATTAGAAAATTCGAATTTAAATTCAAAATCATTCTTCCGTATTATCTTTTTTCTCTGTCGAAAATTAAAAAAAAATTATTACCTGGTTGAATTTCAAATTTGATTTTCATATGTTCGCTAGCACATAAACCACCGGATCGCCTATCAATACCTTTTTCGGTACCATCCGAAGTGGCTAAAAATAAAATTTATCAAACTTTCAAATTAACAGCAACATTTCACGATCTCGCTAATTAATTACTTTCATTAATTACTTTCATTTAAAAAATTCTTTCAAAACAAAAATTTTTTTTACTTTCTTCAATTAATTTGCAAAAAATCTTTTGTTCTGTTCAAAGTATTCTTGTTGAATACTATAAATTTTATTATTTACATTATTCAATCGATTAAGAATTGCTAATAAAATATATTAAGAAAATAATTTTCTCACATAATAATTATTTTTGGGCAATATTTTTATTTAAGTTTTCTTAACTTTTTTGTAAATGAACTTGAATTATTGACAAATGTAAACCAAACTTGAATTATTGACAGATTTAAATCAACTTGAATTACCAACAAACATAAATCAACTTGACTTATTGACAAATTTAAATCAACTTGACCTATCGAAAAATTAGTAATTATTTTTAGATATCATTTTTTTCATATTCAAGTCTTTTACTTTTTTTGTAAATGAACTTGAATTATTGACAGATGTAAATCAACTTGAATTACCATCAACTTGACTTATTGACAAATTAATAATTATTTTTGGATATCATTTTTTTTCGTATTCAAATTTTTCTTTTACTTTTCTGTAAATCAACTTGAGTTACCAACAAATGTAAACCAAACTTGAATTATTGACAAATTACGCTTTGCAAAAAAAAAACCTCTTCATTTGATTGCTTTTTATTTCTTCATTAATGAAGTGCTATTTAAATGAAAGTAGAAGAATCAATGATAAAAATAAGATGGTGACAGGAACGCGGAAATGTCATCCTGTCAACTATACCTACATTCTTCTACGGTCCACTTTTTTCTTCCGTTTTTTTATTCGACATCTCATTTATTGTGGAAATGCAAAGAATGCAAAAGGTGAACATTATCAAGGTCAAAGGGAATCACAAGAAATGATTGATTGATTGATTGATTCCTTCTTTTTCAACATTAACAAAAGAAGAAACGATGAAAATTTTTTAGTCTTTTATTATAAATCAAAAATATTGCAAAGAAAGAGCAAAAAATTGATCCTAAACTTTTTGAAGAATTAATTCGAAAATTTATTATATCAAAGAGTACTCTATCTGTTTTACCTCTCTGTTTTTATCACATTTCTTTAACCTTTCACCTCATTACCTTTTACCTCATTTATCTTTTTTACCTTTTACCTTTTTACCTAATTTTTTACCTCTCTGCTTTATCCTTAATTCTTCTACATGTCGTATCTGCTTGTTTTTATCTCATTTCTTTTACCTTTCACCTCATTACCTTTATCTCATTCACCTTTTACCTTTTTACCTTATTTTTTACCTCTCTGCTTTATCCCTAATTCTTCTACATGTTGTATCTGCCTGTTTTTACCTCATTTCTTTTAGATTTCACCTAATTACCCTTTATCTCATTTACCGCTTACCTTTTTACCGTACTTTTTACCTCTCTGCCTTATCCCTAATTCTTCTGTATATCACACTGCTTGATGATATCATTTGAAGAATTAATTTATTTTTTATGATTACCCGATTGTTACTGAATAAGAGAAAGACGATAGTTGCGCAATTGTCAATACATCTGCTCTAAGTGTTGCGTAAATCTTTAACGTAAGTAATAATGATTGACGTTGAATTATAAAGTAAGTAAAATGATTGACGTTGAATTATAAAATAAGTGATTGACGTTGAAATTTTTTTTCAATTTTATTACGTATCATTAAATATGAATGTTATTACTCTTTTAATAGCGCAAATGTCATCATTACTATTTCAATTGAGTATAATATCATTTTGAATATCATAAATAAATAATGAATTCGTTCTATGTTCCATAAAATTCATATTATTTTAAAAATTAAAAATTTCACTCAAACTAATTTAAATTTATTTTCGAAACTTTTTGTTTTTCCCTCCATCGTTAATTATAATTTATGCGATAATTAATTAAAGTTTAATTTGAAATTTCAATTTTTTGTTTTTATATTAATAAATTTTCACTTTTAATATTTCTATTGTTTTAAACGATTATTTGCATAAATTAGCATTTTTGTTTTCTTTTGGGAATTTTTATATAAAATTTTTCCTTTTCAAAAAATATATAATCGATGGATTTCATTGATAGAAAAAATATTTAAATATTTGAGAAAATTTTATTTCAATTAAAAATTACAAAATTTTATGATTGAATATCTTTTTTGTGCTTTTCTAACTTCCGATCTAAATTAATTAATTTATTTTAAATTAAATTTTAATTTAAAAATACTATCACTACAAAATTTTATATTATAATCTGAAATAATTATTTGCGTTAAATTAAGCAAATTAAATTAAGAAGTTTAATTAATTAGGAAAAACAGGAAAATGATAAAAATGTTAAAAAAAATTTATTATCATTTTTAAATGTTATAATTTTAAAACAATAATTTTATGCAGAATTTTCAACAAAATTCTCATTTTGATGAAAATTTGTCAATTTTTAAAATCGAAGTTATTAAAAAAAAAGACCACTATATTATGGAAAAGGATTTTGAATAGGTGAAAGCTATAATATCCGCTGTGCAATACAATGGTATAATACCTTTTACTGCTGGTAGTAAAATAATTCAAAAAAGAAAATTAGATGTGAATGACATTCCTTCCTTTTATTCATTCAATGAATGAATACTCTCTCAACGATCGGATCGGATCGGATCGGATCGGATGATATAATAATTCATTGCAATAAAAAGAGTACATTACTCTTCCTCTTAGTAATAATTTTTGTGAAACAATTTTTATACAATATCAAAATGGGTCAAAAGTTTAATTTGATATTTTTCAGTTTATTCATACTTGAATTCATTTATATGAATACCTGAATTCATTGAAGAAATATGATGAATAGATTAAAGGTTAAAGTTAAAGTGTATCAGCTAATGTATATATTACGAAAGTGAATAGTTCAAATCTTTGATCAATTTTTAATAAACAAATATTATAATCATTCTTATCAATTGCTTCTTAGCTTTCTTATGTATATATTATTAAATCATATATTTTTGAAAATTTAAAACGTTTTAAAGAATTTTTAAAATTAAAACAGCTTTCAAATTATTAAAAAAGTTAAAATTAAAAGGATTAGTAAAACTTATTAAAATTACTAATTAATTTACTAATAATCAAAATTTTGAAAGTTATGCGAAATTTAAACTTACTAATAAAATAATAGCTGTAGCCTGGTTTAAATTCTAATGCACCGGGAAGTGGAGAGAAATCTCGGAAGACAATACTGATCGATGATTGTTGCCCCGGAGTTTGACATACTCCAATTAATCGTTCATCTAATAATTGACAATTGTCATAACCACTTTGAGACACCTGAAAAACGGAAGGTTAATCCGGTAAAATAAAATACAATCAAGTAATCATTTTGTTTATTATGTTTTCTTCTCATTTCCAATTTCTCTGTTAACTATTTCTCTTTTTTATGATTGTTTAAGGATTGATAAAATGATAACGGGAAAAAAAATCCCAAACTTCGAGAATAATATTATCTTGTTGATATCTTATCACTTATTTCCTTCTCTTAAAACCGATATTATGCCTGATCATATTTTCTTAACTATACTTTCTTTTCTATTTTTCAAATCAATAATTTCATGAAATGATAGATCACGTAGGAAGCGGAAAGAAATGATAAAAGTAATACTTAACTTTTAATTTACACCTTCCCTTCTATTTTCCAATCTTCAGTCATTTAATAATCAGTTTATCGGGCGGTGATTTTATGGAATAGTTTTTGGGTTGAGAATGTATAAAAGAGGAATGTATCGGTGGAAGTAATTAATCCGAATAATATGCAAAGAAGCAACAAGCCGTAATTTTGTCTATTTTATGAGCTCTTAATCGATTTTACGACATTACCACTGAATATCAGATTTCCATTCCTCTTCCACTACTTAATTGCTTCAATTTCACATTTATTGCCAAACATTTTTTTCTTTTGTTATTAAGGTAGAAGAGAAAAGTTTTATAGAAGTTATTATAAATTTGCAGATTTGGAAAAAGGTATATATATATATATACCTTATATTATATATATATTTATAAACTTGTTGGTTTATAAATATATGTATCTGTTAACTTGTTAATAAAATGGATATATAAATTTACTTTCTCTTTTTAAAATAAATATTTCAATTTTAGAACTGTAAAATTCAAATAGTACATTTCCAATTATATTTTAATTTATATAAAATCGCCTAAATCAAAATAAAGAAACAGTATTATTTAAACATTTTTGAAGAGGACAATTTCATCAATGCATATAATAATTTGATAAAGTTAATTAATTAAAACTTTGTCGTTAATTAATTAAAACTTCGGGTATTCTCAGTTATTTTTCTCACTGTTAAGAGTATACGGTTAATGAGGTTTGAAAAGGAGTTAAGAATTCTTAAAGTATCACCACTCTCCTTATCAAATGAATGATGTAAAGTTAAATTTGATAAATATGGGTCAAAAAAAAAAGCTTTGAAAATGATCAGATCTTGTTGAAATTTCAACTTGATCATGCATACATAATCATACATATATATCATACATACATAATCATGCATACATAATCATTGATTAGTTATCATTTATCATTTATTTCATATTAAATAAATTTCATTTCCTTAAATTTAATATTTTTTTGAATCCTTTTTTTTAAAAAAATTGAAGGCCTTTTTAAAATAAGACTTAGATATAAATGAAGAGAGAAAAATTTTAGTAGAGGTTAAAATTCTGCTAATAAGGACAAAGGTTAACGATAGTTATACTTTTTACTCAAGTAAATTTTCTCATCCTTTCATATCGGATTATATTTGTAGTTTAATATCTAATTTCGCTATTATTTTATTACTTACCACTAGATTATATTTATTTGTATAGCTAGTAACAAACTATAAAGTTTATGTTGACCATAGGCAAACAGATGTTGAATATTTGTTTTACAGTAGTATAATTTATGAAATAAAATAGAGGAAGGAGCTTTTAGTTTACCCATATGCTCAACATTGTTGTATATTCCGCAAATTATTTGCTAAATATTTTAAATATAAAAAATATCTTAAAAATAAATTAAATTTAATAAATTGAATATTAAAGAATTAACGAATGATATCTTTCATTTATATTTTCAAAAATTTTTATATAAAAACTAAAATATATTTTAGTTTAATATTTCTTTGTAAATTTTACTAATAGTATATTTTATTGATTAAGACAAATGCATTTGAATTTCAAATCTCTCTCTCTCTCTCTTTCCCTCTCTCTTTATGTTCAGGTTTCCTTATCTGAATAAAATGATAGCAAGACTTGTAAGCTAATAGTAGTAGTAGTAGTGGTAGTAAAAGATTTGAAATGTCCATTTAGATGTCCATTTGGATATCTAAATGGATATAAATTAGCAATACGAAGAAATAGTATAAAGTTAGCAAAGATAGAAAAGATTTAGCTTAAAATGGAAATAATTTTCAGCAGAGAGCAAATGATAGAGATAAAAAGAAAAAAAGAAAAAGAATGATAAAATTACTAAATTTTAAAATTAATTAAATTCAGAAGTTTTAAAAATTGTTACGACTAGATATATTAATGATATCGTTTTTTGAAATTAATAAATCTAAGAAATTATAATAAGATTAATTTTATCATATCACAACTCATTAGTACTTAATATGTAATTATCAGAATTATTCAATAATTCATCTAATACATTAAAATTGTTTCCAGCCTCAAAGACGAAGTAATCTTCTACGAAGAGCAATCTGTCTGGTTTGCAATCCTTTTTTTTTAGTAACGAAATCTAATTACTACCACTTCAATTCTTATTTTAAATTATTTCCATTCCTCAATTACAATATATTGAACTAGAATATAAAAATATATGAATGAATTGGATGATTATTTAAATATGATAACCCTAACTGAGGAATAGAATATAAATAATTAATTCTAAATTGATTAACTTAATAAATAGGCTGAAAATATTTTTTATATCTTTTACAAACCATTTTTATTTTACAATTTAAAATATTACAAAAACGAAAATTTGTAAACACGATGAAATATTATAATTTGTATAAACAAAATATCGAAATACATTCCAAACTATATATATATAATATATATTCTATTATCATTATTACGAAAAATCGCCTGTAAATTTGAAATTTAAAATTATCCCAGATTTTTATAACAATAACTTAAAAACTTCTTAAATTATTAAAGCAAAATTTTTGACAAATTAATTATTTTAAAAAAGCTATAAATAATATAAATAAATATTTGCTAAAAAGTTAAGGCTATCAAAAGAACATATTTAAATTTTCATCCAATTCATTTCTATAATTAACAAATTAAACTTACAGCATATAATTTCGTATATTCATAAGATGTCCGTGAATTGCTGGTAATTGGTTGCGGACAAACAATTGTTACACGATCGAGTAATTTAACTGACATCACATGATCCGTATTACTTATATCAAACCTAAAATTAAATTTTTAAAATTAAATTAAATTTTTCTTTGTAAGTTCTTAATATTTACAATGCTAATTAAATTTCAAATAAAATTCTTTTTATTTCTTCAAACTCTTTCTCAGTATTTTCAGTATTTTAGGTTATTTTAGGTTTTTTATTTTTGAATTATTTTCCCAAACAGCTCCCTAATTATTTCAAATTTTAATTTGATAATGGAAAACATAGAAAAAAACGTTGAAATTTAGTGTAATGATGAAATTTCAGCAATTTTTGGAAATGATAAATTCTTTTGTGAAAGCATAATTTTTTCGTTGAAAATGTCAAATTTTCAACGAACATTTGTCGAAAATTTTTGATCTTTTAATTTTTTCTTAAAATAACATTAAAATTTGTTGAAATTTGAAATAAATTAGGCGAATTATTGAAAGATGAAGGATAATTTGAAAGTATTAGCTGACATATGTAAATGCTGAAAGATTAATTATTCGTTGAACAATTTAACATTTCAACTTTTTCTCATCGAAAAAGACGATAACAGTTGTTAAATTTTGAATAACAAAAGAATGTTGTAGTAGTAGTGTTGTAGTAAAATTAATTGCTTCCATTAGTCACTTCAATCTCAGAATTATCTCATCAATTTAATTTAAAAAGATTTTACAACAACGACAATTACATATAGCTTATCTTATGTATCAGACTAAAATACATCAATCCATTCTGACATGATGAATATTATCAACCTCATTTTTTAACATTACAAAATTAATTTAACGATAGAAGAAATTAAACGGATCTCTTGAAGTAACTTAATTAAAGAATTTGCAAATGGATTGATAGATCTTAGAAAAGTAAATAAAATAACCTAAAAGTAAACAAAACCTGAAAGAATCAAAAAGTAAGCTTTAAAAATAAATTTAAATAAACTTCTCAAAATAACTTAATTAAAGGACTTACAAATGGATTGATAGATCTTAAGGAAGTAAACAAAGACCTAAAAGCAACCTAAAAGTAAACTTTAAAAAAAATTAGGCGAATCTCTCAAAGAAACTTAATTAAGGAATTTGAAAGTTTGTAATTGGCAGATGAATCTAAAAAGTAAATAAATTAGATGGATTAGACAAAGGAAAATACCGAATTGGATATTTCAAAATTTCCTGGATACTGAGGTATAATTAGGAATGATAACCAAAAACTGAAGCCAAGAAGTTTATGATGATATTATCTTTTATCTTTCATATATATTTGAAATTTATCATTTTCAAACTAACAAATATTTTAACTACTACTTTAACTGCTTTAATATATTTTAACTACTTTAATCAGTTAATGAATAAATGATAATTATAAAGTGAATCACTGATAATTTATACGGTACATTAAACATTTGAATTAATCATAAGTTAAAGTTCTAATTCCTTCAGTATCGGCTAATTGAAATTATAAACTTTCAGCAATAATTTATCATTTAGATTGTTTTAAAATTAATTTAATTTATTTGAATCTCCCTCTTATTTCTCTTTCTTGCTTTCATTACTTCACATCATTTCATTAGTTAATAAGTCAATTTTGAGGAAAACATTTTTCTGTCAATAAGATTTGACCCCTGATAATTTTGGTGAAAGAGTTTGTTACTGATGAATTTACATATCGTTTATTGATGTATATATGTGTGTGTGTGTGTGTCTGTATGTGTGTGTGCAATGAACTGTTCATGACATCGAGAATAGATTATGAAAGATGATAAATAACATATTTGAAGGGCGGAAAGGGAATGCGGAAAAAAAAAGACCGATCACCGATCATGTCATGATCTTTTATAAATGAAGTGATCTGAAACAACATATGTCTGCCTATTCGTCGAATTTTACTGATTATTGAATAAATCAATATTATCCATTAAAATTTTAACATTTTAAACTTGTCAAATTTAAATTTATTATTTCCGTTTTTCTGTCTTTTTTTAAATATTTGCTTAGGTTTTATATGCAAAAATCATTCGGTAGTAATTATAAGATTCTTAAAATGTTTAGTTGACTAGCTCTGCTTTATTTAATCTATGCCGAAGGGAAAGAGAGAAGGTGACATTTGCTATTTGACCGATGGTCAAAGTAGTGTTGACAGAAGAGATTTGCAACAGCGGGTCATCAAGAGTTATACATGCATAATTGACCATATAATTATCAATGGTACATTAAGAGGTAAATACATATCATATGAATTGCTAGATGATGAATTAAAAAAAAAAAGATGAACAACACAATTGATATGATATTGATAGTATCGGCTAACAAATTAACCTAACCTTATTTAATTCATAAGTAATTGTCTACGAGTAAAAAAATATTCAAAATGAAGCTTCAAAAAATTTTATGTAAAATCATTTGTGAAATAAATAATGAGAAAAAAAAGGAATATAATTAAATTATAAAATTTGATGAAATTTAATTACATTATAATTATGTATATAATTTCCGAAGTCAACTAAGAATTCATTCTTTCCTTTATTTTTGTTTAAATCGAAATTCACGTCAAATAATTAGTTATTCTAATCAATGAATAGATTTAAAATCAAAACCGGAAATTAATGAACCATAACGTAGAAAAAGAAAATGATTGATAGGAATTGTAACCAAATGGTAATTAGCATATTTGAACATATTGTATAGAATTTTTTGCACGATAATTTTTCTTTATGTCAAAAATAAAATCTAATATCATATAGTTGAAATTTGCTACCGAATATTATCATTATCATCAATTAGTTTAATAAATTTTAAAACAGATATATCATTATCACTTATCGTAATCACTTTCATCCTAATTATTTTATCATAACAAGTTATTAATATAATCATCAGTTGTTAATATTATCGCTATCATTATATTTTAGTAAGAAATGTTTATCAATTCTTTTATCCCAATCATTATCATCCCAATTATTTTATCACCACAAATTATTAATATTATCACTATCATTAAACTTTAGTAAAAGAGATTTATCAATTCTTTTTTGGTTATAAAAAAGAAAACTTCAAGGTCATTTATATTTCGAATAAAATTTATTTTAAATCGAACATATTCATTCATTCACTCTTTTCATCGATCAAATCAGATATCTGTCACGAAAAAAAGAAGTTGAATTTTATTTTGAAAAATAATTTGGATAGAAAAAAAGCAGCACAAAGATTTTACAACTTATTCAAAACTTTAATTTAATTTATAATTTTGAAGAATTCAAATGGATTATTTCCCTTAAACTTTTAAACTTATTGATTAGTGAATAAATGACTAAATTCTTAAACTTACTGATTACTTACTGATTAGTGATTGAATGATTAAACTCTAAAACTTATTGATTACTTACTGATTAGTGATTAAATGAACTCTTAAACTTACTAATTACTTACTGATTAGTGATTAAATGAACTCTTAAACTTACTGATTAATGATTAAGTGATTAAACTCCTAAACTTACTGATTACTTACTGATTAGCGATGATTAAACTCTTAAACTTACTGATTAGCATAATAATTAATGAGTGGATGATAAATATGGTTCGCTTTCGTCCTCTTTACTATTAATTTAAATAATTATTTAGGAATGAAATATTCAAATTAGATTAATTATATGTAAAACTTCTGTATTTTCTTTATTTTGAATAATGCTTTGAAAATTTTTTACAAAAAGCTTTAAATACAAAAGCTTTAAATTTAAGGCTATTTAAAAATTTTTATTTTATTTTCAATTAATTACCTTTTTGTTTTAAATCAGGTAACTATTGTTGATTGTTTAATTTTATTCTTTATCATATCGATCATTTTAATTCACCATTATCAAATCATTTTTTATTTTAATGCAATATTTTTGATATATTAATTGAATTTTATTATCAGTTAAATGATATCTTATCAACGCTTATAACAAAGTGCGAAAATATGATGAACGAATGGAAATGAATTTGATAGGGTTTGATGTTTAGTTGTGATGGTGAATGATGAATTCTTCGATGATAACCTTGATTGAGTAAGATGAAAGAAAGATCTCAGCATGATGTCCGAGCTAATAAATCATTTCTACTACAGTATATTAACGAGAAGATGATGAGGATCTAAAAGTAAAATGCGTTGTCAGGGAAGGATACACAACGTGGATCTGTCATATCCTTCCATATTCTCTCTGATTACAATCTACAGCCTTACAATCAAACTTTATGTCAAATTCATCTTCTCTATCTTTCCATAATCTAACTTATCATTTCTCAATAGTTAGCATTAAATATTTCGCTCTCTCTTTGCAACAAATCAATCAATAAATAAATATTTAATATAATATATTTTGAAATGATTTTAGGTTACATTTAAATGGTACCATTTAATCTAAATATAACCTGAAATAATAAAATTATAGAGAGTGGAAAACAAAACTGGAAAATTGTAGAAAATTTGTAGAAATTCTTTTTTTGAAATTTGATTAGTCATTTTGGAATTTGATTAGTCATTTTGAAATTTAATTAATCGTTTTGGAGTTTGATTCATTATTTTACTAATGTTTATAAATGTGTGTGGTTTGAAAAAAACGAGCTTCGAACGATAAACATTTCTGTGTAAACTTTCACTCTCCTCTGAATGAATTCCGGCAAAAAATACATTTCCGGAATATGTATCAAATTGTCATTCCTCTGTTCTCATCAATTATAAGACAATTAGAAAAGTAGAATGAATGATATCAATTGGAATATCTTTGATCTGTTACGAAGTTATAAGAAGTTTAATTTAAGATACTATCCTAATTTATTAATTAATTAATCAAATTAATATTTTAACCTATTTTTTCTTTGGTATTATGCAAATTAAATAATTAAACAAATTAGTATTTCAATGTATTTTTTTAGGTATTATGTTAATTAAATAACTAATCAAATCAATATTTCAATGTATTTTTTCTTAGGCATTATGCAAATTGAATAATTAATCAAATTAATATTTCAAGGTATTTTTCATAGGTATTATACTTATTAAATAATTAATCAAATTAATATTTAAGTGTATTTTTTCTTGGGCAAAAAAATTTTTTCGGCGAGATGAAAGAATTCAAACATTTCTTTGTTTTTTAAAATGAAGTTTTTTTTCTTAAGCAAAAGGAACTAAAAACAAAAAATGAATTTCAAATTAATTTTAAAATAAATTGTTTTAGAATAAAAAAATTTAGGAAAAATAGTATAAGATTAGGAATGATTAGTATTATCAAGAAATAATATATAAAAGTAAGAGAGAGAGAGAGAGAGAAAAGAGAATTTAATTTCAGACAGTTGTTGCCACCAAATTAATCAGCTCATAGAAAGAAGCCTTATCTTCTACTACTAAAATAAGATAGCAAAGAGATAAATATAGTGCTGCTATATAATAGCTTAACGTCTTCTATCTTTAAAATTTTCAGGCCTTGAAAACAAGCCTTATTCTTCCGTTAGCATTATTGAAAGCCTAAATAAGCCTCAATAGCATCAAATAAAGGCAAATTGAATCGAATGAAATGTCTATATTATCAAATATATGTGATCGCTTTAACGAATTGCGAAATTTCCCAAAACTGTTAAAGTTCTTAAATTAGCATAAAAAAATCCCTTAAAAGTATAATTTTCAAATTTGGCAATAATTTAAGTCTTATTGTATTATTGTGATTGAAAGAGAAGAGAAAAGAAGTAAATGAAAATGTTGCAAATTTGAAATTATTAATTTTTGTTGAAT